GATCCTCCTGCCTCAGGTACTGGAATCGCTGGGATTACATGGTTGCACCACTGCGCCTGGCTCACTTGTTTTAATGGCCAAAAAAAGGTCATAGAATAAGAACCACACAAAATTCATTTGCATTTTTTTAATAAAATTTTTATTAGAAAAGTTTTTTCTTTCTGAATAAAGCCACAGATTCCAAAACAAATATGATTAAAAAGGATAAAAGTTAAAATTTATAGGAAGGAAAAACAAAGGTTTAAATTCAGATATTATAATACTATAAATAATAATTGTATTCCCTCCTAATTTTAGCAATTAAAGAAACTGAAGCCAGGGCTGGGTTGTGGCTCAGTGGTAGAGCACTTGCCTAGCACCTGTGAGGCCCTGGGTTCAAACCTCACCACCACATATAATAAAGTAATAAAATAAAGCTATAAAAATTTTATTAAAAAGAAAGAAAGAAACTGAAGCCAGAATTAAAGACAAGGCAGTCAGTGCAGATAGGCAAGGGTTGGATCCAGAGGCCAGTTTGGGTCAGGGGAGTAGGAGATTGGTGATTCTCTAGGGAGTAGGGTCTGGGCAGCCAGTTGTGGTGGCACATGTCTAGAATCCCATGGCTCTAGAGGCTGAGAAAGGAAAATTGCACCATCCATGCTATTCCCCTTCATCACTATACAAAATACATGCATGAAGATGTGAATTTAGTGTCAACATACCTTATATGTAATCAGAGATATTATAAATTATGATATAATGGTGTATTAAGAATTKTAATGCAAAAATAAATAAATAAATAAACAAATAAGAAAGGAAAATGCAAGTTCAAAGTCAGCCTCAGCAATGGTGAGGCGCTAAGCAACTCAGTGAGACTGTTTCTATGATAGAGACTGGGGATGGGGCTCAGTGCCCCTGAGTTCAATTCCTGGTACAAAAAATAAACAACAACAACAACAAAAGAAACCACTTTGAACTACATAATAGGCATAAGTTGTGAATGTCTTCAAAACTTTGTTTATTCTCATTTTTATAATAAATCTAAAAACCTATGTGCATAAATTGCCACAGTCTGGCTGGGCACAAATCATGAGCCACTCAAGAAGGAACAAACTTTATTTCCCAACTCCCCTGAATGCCACCCACGCRGCCTTCTCCGGGACACACCACACACCAACCGGAACTTCACCAACCAACGCGGAACTCTTCAGGAATCCCCAGAGAGCTCAACCAGAACTCAACGGGAACTCCTCGAGAACTCAAAAGTCATCATCTTAATGACTCACTGGCGTCACCTCTCAACCACTACTTCTGGCAAAAATGCCATGCATCATCCCGACTCAGCTGTGGCCCTCAACAATAAATCATAAATTGAAGTTTAAATGAGGCAAATTTTTAAAATTAGAAATATTTAATTTAATAATTAAGTAGTTCTTGATTCCAGGTATTCCTACAATATCATATTTTTTTTTCTTAGCTCATTTCAGTTTGAAAGGGTAAAGTTTCTAAGCTGCAAAGCCTGAATTAAAATGTAAAAGACTAGGTATTGTTAAGTTCCTCTGCTACACCCAGAACCTGAAATTCCTGAGATAGTTAAGACAACGCCCTACTGGCCATTTAGCCTAGGGCCCTGTGCAGTTTGTCACAGGGCCCAAACCAATCAGTTTGAATATGTACTCCGCTTAGGAGTGACCAATCACCCCCGCCCGACCTGTTCCCGCCAATGAATGTGCTAATCATGTCTCAGAGTTGTTGTTCAATTTCCCCGCGCCTCATGATGCTTTGTTCTGATATATACAAAGCCCCCTGCCCTCTCCAAAAAGTGTACTTAAGCTCTGCTTGACCTCTGCTCGGGGCTTTGGGCTGCTCTATCTTCCTGAGTGAGCCTGGAACCTCAGCATGCTGAATTAATAAATCCCCTTTTGCCAATTGCATGGAGCCAGTCTCTTGTGTGGTCTCTTCCTCCGACGCTACGTTGGACCTTTACAAGTTATGCAAAATATTAGGGTAACCTGTCTCAGGGATTGTCTTTCCCTACAGGGAGTTTAAAAAGTTGTTAATTTGATAAGCTTGTAATTTAATTTGCTCTAATTTAATCCCCAACATTTTCCTTTCTCTCCCTCCCTCCACCATTCTCTAATTTATTCTATTTATTTGTAGTTTTATTAAAATTAGTGCTTCATGAATATTCATGAAGGTCAGATTCACTGTGGTATATTCATATGTGTACATTGTAAAGTTAGGTCAGATTCTCCCTTTTCCCATCCCTCCTCCCTCTCTCTTAATCCCCTTCCTCTACTCCACTGGTTTATCTTCTATTTTTCACAGGATCCCCTACTTTTTTCCTTTTCTTTTTCCTTATTTTGCTCTAGCGTCTACATAGCGGAGTAAACATCCACCCCTTGGTTTTCTGACTCTGGATTATTTTACTTAACATGATGATTTCCACTTCCGTCTATTTACTGGTAAATGTAAAGCAGAGTTTTAGTGAGTGGCTATCTGTGCTGAGTCATAAACTGTTCCTTCAGCTCATCTATCAAAAACTCTGTCTTGTAGGGAAATAGGGGCTATTTATTTAATAAGTTTTAGTTTCTTTCCTTCGGATTTTCTCTCTTCCATACCTATTCATTCACTAGGACTCAATTTTGGAGTTTCAAATCAGGTCTAAAAGACTCCCAAAGCCTGCAGAGACTGCTGTGATTAAGGAGAGCAAAGAGCACCAATCCAGGAGAAGCAGATACTGCTTGAACCAGAATATAGCTATATAATTAACAGCTTCATGAGGTACATGGAGTAAGAAGCAGGGGTCTCCTGGTCCAAGAGGAGAGTGTGACCCCCTTAGGCACATTTCTATCTCATGGGGCCTCTGTATTCTCAGCGCTGTTGTGTTTCTTACTTCTATGCCCTGCGTTATGCTCTTGAGATGGAATATTCTCCCACACATTTAATTCCTGGCTTTGACCTCAATTGGCCTGGGGGGCAGATATTCAGATCTTATGTTGCTACTCTGCCCTCTAAGGGTTGTAATCCTCTTGTCCTAAATAATATTGAATGCTTCCTGTTCTGCTCTTGTTATCATAGCACCTGTAAAACTGCACCTGCTTTGCACCTGTCTTTGCAGCCTGTGGTTGCATCTGTTTCGATTAGCAGCATGGCTAATCTTCTGTTTCCCAAAGGAGATGGTAGCACTGAGCAGAAATTTGGACTTTATCTTCCAGTTCTTAGTATCCTTCAGGTCCTGTATCTAGCCAAGTGCCAGTTTTTCTCACATGCTTTCCCTTGCAGGATTCTGTGGACCCAGCCCTGGACAATGTTCTTCCTGCAGCAGGTATCCCTCTCCCTCTTGCCTCACTTGTACTCTGGTCCTATAGGCTCCATGTGTCTCTAGCCTGCAGTGTGTTCTGGACTCAGTCTTCACACTTGCTTTGCCAGATGCCTGGGATTCTCTTTCCCCCAATGTCCTTGGGGTTTGCTACTTTTTTGTCTGATCTATGCACAAATGGAACGGCAACCTCTGTTTCTAGTTCTTTATTCTGAATTACTTTTCTTCATGGGTTTGAGAATATAAAATTCTTTACCTCATGGTAGAAAATTGGTTACTTGTTAACTTATTGATGCAATGACTAATCATCAAAACTTAGTCAATCAGAGATTCATTGCCAAAGAATACACATTTCTGATCTTCCCCTCAGTAACATCCCTGTCATGAAATTCCTGAAAATCAGATAACCAGCACCAGCTTCAGTGCAATGATCAAACTTTTGAAAGACAATTAGCTACATCTTACCCTGGTAAACATGATTCTGTAGCTGAAGTCTGCTGAAATCCACACTATAACTTATGAGCCTTACTCTTTCCCCTAAACTCTCTTCTTACAATATCGAAAACTCAGTTTATTGTTTTAGATATTAGTGGTAGACTTCAGTTGTGTTATATTATTTTCTCTTGTCATTTATTATTATTCATAAGCCCCATGAGAACAAGTACTTTAATGCCCTTGTTTATTGTGATCACTTAGTGATGACCTGATGTGTAACACGCTGCTGCCTGCACTCCACAAAGATTTGTTGAAAGAATGTTGGGGACAACACACCATTGAACATTAATAACCTAGTATCTAAGACAGAGTCTAATATTTAGAAGTAATTCCATAAATATCAAGCAAATGGATGGAAATAAATTTTAGATCTACTGCACATTATTGTGCCTGGAATTAATATTACTAAAAATTGCTAACACAGTAAATTTTAAGTGTTCTCACCACAAAACGTGAGGCAAGAAAATTCATAGATTAATTAGCTCAATTTAGCAATTCTACAGTGTTGTATTTCAAAACATCATGTGATAGATGATTGATAAATGAAATTTTTTTGTCAATTAAAAATAAATAAACAGTGGTCTGGAGCTTATAGCTCTGCAGTAGAGCAACAGCTGACATGTGTGAGGTTTTGGGTTCCATCTACAGTGCCACACAAAAAATTCAATCAATCGATATGAATGAATGAATGAATGAATGAATGAATTCATTGTTGAAGTATTTTTGAAAATAATTTTGGGGACTTCCCTGAAATAAACCAAGAATTATTCAGGTCTCTGTGGGTCCAAACAGTTCTCATGAACTGAGCTCTTTTTAGAAATACACTAGCAGAAAAATTTCCATCTTTTCCTACTGGATATCTTTTGAAAGACTTTAGAGCATTAGAAATTTAGTGCATTCTAAACTGAGCTGATATGCTTTCCTTCTTTTCTTTAAAAACCTTTATTTTATTTATTTATTTTTTATGTGCTGCTGAGGATTGAACCTAGGGCCTTGCACGTGCAAGGTGAGCACTCTACCACTGAGCCACAACCCTGGCCCCTGATATGCTTTCCTTTAAACCCAGATGCTCTAGTAAGACTCTCTCTGTCAGGAAGTGGCATCTTGTGTTGCTACTCTGCTCTCTAAGGGTTGTAATCCTCTTGTCCTAAATGGATATTGAATGTTTCCTGTTCTGTGTCTTTATTTATTTATTTTTCTTTTTTGGGGAGACTGGGGATTGAACCCAGGGCCTTGTGCATGAGAGGCAATCACTCTACCAGCTGAGCTATATCCCCAGCCTCCAGGTCCCTTTTCAACCCAGCTTGAAGTAATGATTTCACCTCCTACAATAGTCTTTGAGTCTGCTCATTTCCTCTTTCTGTGATTGCCCCACCCAAGCTACCCTACCTGTCATCTAACCTACTATAGCAACCTACATTGGAACATCAGCATCTTCTCTTTCCATCTCACCAACCTAACTTTTAAAATTGTTTTAATCTTTACTTTTAAATTTTTTTAAAAGATATACATGACAGTAGTGTATTTTGACATATTATACATACATGGAGTATTACTTATTCTAATTAAGGTCCCATTTTTGTGGTTGTACATGATGTGGAACTACACTGGTTCATATGAGAACATAGGAAAGTGATGTCTGACTCATTCTACTCTTTTCTATTCCCATTCCCCTCCCTTCAAAGCATTTTCTTTTGTCTAATCCAATGAACTTCTATTACCTCCACCCCTTATTGTGTGTTAGCATCTCAGAGGGAAGATTTGGCCTTTGGTTTTTGGGGGACTGGCTTATTTCACTTAGCATGATAGTCTCCATTTCCATCCATTTACCAGCAAGTGCCATAATTTCCTTCTTCTTTATGGCTGAGTAACATTCCATTATGTATATAAACCACATTTTCTTTGACAGCTATCTCCTGTACTTAACTATCCATGCCATAAGAGCAAAGACTATATTTTTATTTATTTTTTAATCATAGATGGATACAATACCTTTGTTTATTTATTTATTTTTTTTATATGGTGCTGAGGATTGAACCCAGTGCCTCACACATGCTAGGCTCTACAACTGAGCCACAACCCCAGTCCCAGCAAAGACTATATTTTTGGGATGTAGGAAATACTCAACAAATATTTATTAAATCCAGGAGCAACAAGGGGCCAATATAAGAAACCAGAAAGGGATTCACAGAGGATCCACCTCATTCTACAGCAGTATTTCACTGAACCTCAAAGGGTCTTGCTAGGGTCTTGTTTAGTAGAAAAGGGAAGAAACAGAACACTGAAGAGATAGAAAGATATATTTTTGTCACAACACCTGACTCAACCAGTCAAGGTCACTCCAGGTCAACTGGGCTGGCATGAAATAATCACACAGAGACAGAGAAATACCGTTTTCTTTAGGTTCTGTGACGGCTCCTCTGACCCAGCTCTCACAAAGGAGGCAAGGCAGGCAGGAAAGAGAGAGAGCAGGCCTTAAAACTGGGGTCTTATTGGGAGAGGCTGTTCCATGGAATATTCTATCCCCAAAAGGGCAAAGGGATAGGATTCCAAGGAACAGGTGAGTATAACTCAACCCCACTGGGTGACACCTACTCCTGGAGCCATGCCTTATTATCCAAGCAGAAGTAAAGCCCAAGTTATTGTGGGGTGCAATAATTGTTCAGAACCCTGTGAATCAGGACTTAAAGGCTTCTGCATCCACAGCAGCTCCTGACACATTTTAGCCTTTAATGAGGAAGGAGAGGCCCCATAGGACTTAGTTTTTTGTAATGTGCCAACCTGGGAACAGTGTACTTCAGGAGGATTTCATCAAATTGAGTCAGCTTGAGAATGAGTCCTATACTCTAAGAAGGAGTTTTATCTTTAGTGAGACTCCATTAGATGTGTGTGTGTTGAATAGTTCCTTCTAATAGTTCCTTTAAGGTTTATTTAAATATATATTTTTTAAACTTCAAAGTAGTTCATCATATTAAAATGTAACATTTACAAATGGTGTTTTCCTTTCCCCATTCTTTCCACAGAGAAAGTCTTAGCTGTGAAGGTTATGACACCAATCACAAAAATAAAAAAAAAAAAAAATTAAGGACAAACAGAAGATAGGACAGCAGAGTCATCTTTAAGAAGAAAATGTTCAACACAGAGCAGGGGTGCAGGGCACAGAGGTGGACACAAGTTTGACATTGTCCAGTTTTTTTTCATTGCATTTCAATTTTACATCCCACCAGGAACTCAGAGCATGGTACTAAGTCCTTGGAAAGGTTAGAAACGCTCTCAGTCCATTTTTGCTGCTATAGCAGAATACTTGAGGCTGGGTCATTTATAAAGATCAGAAGTTTATTTCTCTCAATTTCTGAGCCTAGAAAGTTCACCATCAAGTCCCAAGGAGGTGTCTGGAAAGGGTCTGGTCTCAGCTTCCAAGATGGTGCTCTCTGGAGGGGAGGGTGGCTGCTTCTCACATTGCAGAAGACAGGAAGGGGCTGGAGGAAATTATCCTGCACTTGAAAGTTGTTTTATTAAGCATTAAATCCACTCATGAAACTGGAGCCTCACAACCTCTTGTTATGGTTACAACAGCAATTAAATTTAACATGGGTTTGGAGGGAGCCAACATTCAAACCATAGCAATGATTGTTCTCCATTTTATTAGTAAATATGCATCAGATTTAAAATGCTATTTCCCTTAGCTTGTTATAAAGGATCATAAATGATACACTTTCTTTGAAATAGACTGAGCTGCCCTTTCCACAACTCTGCAAGGTAACATGAGAACCCGAGAAGATTCCAGAGGACTACAGGTTGAAGGCTGACCAGCCAGTAAACAGCAGCGCCAGACTGAAGGTGATCTCCATTGCAAATGGAACTTGGGTTCCCTTCCATATCTGTGTTGCTCCCACATGCAGGTGACACTGATTCCAGTCACACTGAAAGCAGGGATAATATGATTGGGAGAAACGCTGTGTGTTTCTGATACCTGGTTACTTTTTTGATTAGTATCCATACTATTATGTTCCAGGTAAAGATCTTTTGTGGTTGATGGAGAGGTAATTTATGGTTTCTGTATGCCAAGAGCGGGTGCTCATGAAAGGGGTGAAGAAGTAAAGAGAGAACAAAGGATGCTCTAGGAGCCCGACCTCTGATGCATTTCTGTGATCCCACTGACTTGCCAGGCTAAGGTGGGAGGATCCTGAGTTCAAAACCAGACTGAGAACATCACAAGACTCTAAGCAACTCAGCAAAATCCTGTCTCTAAATAAAATATAAAAAGGGCTGGGGATGTGGCTCAGTGGTCCAGTGGCCCTGAGTTCAATCTGTGGTACACCCCCCACCGACCTCCCAAAAAGAATGCTATAGGAAATTAAACCAGAAAACAAGGAAGAGGCTCTCTGTTCCTTTCCATTTCAATACAACATAAGGGCCTTAACTCAGAACATGGAACAAAATGGATAGTTATGGACCATTTAGGAAAAAAAAAAAAAAAAAAAACCTGCCACATATATTTCTAGGAGATGACTGCTTCCTAATTTCAAACAATCCTCTTAGTAAGAGATGCTTGGAATTTGTTCCCTGTTCAAACTGGGGGATTGCTTAACAGTTCTCCAAACATTTTCACACCTGCATGGAAATTTGGGTAGTTGTGTAATTCTAATGTAGAGCCTTGCTTAAAAAAAAAAAAATCTGTTCCCTCATTTCAAAAAGGGGAGAAGAATTGTTGTCATTCATAAAAAAGAATTTTCCTCTTGGGTGGGCTTTGGAAATCATGGACAGTGCAGGTAAATAACTGGGAAAACTCTACAGAATTAAGAAGTGGAAGGTATTGATGAATGGAATATACTTTGCTCTCTAATTTCTACATTTGCCTCATAGGTTTGGCTTTTATTTGTTTGATTTTTTTTTTTTAAAGGCTAGAGTTGTTCATTTTTCATTTTCAAAGATTCAGACCCCACAATTGGCTGAAATTTTCTTGCAAATAGATAAAATTCCTGTTAGAAAACATTCTCTCTGCTAATTTAGAAGTCTATTTTTAGGATTATTTAAAACTCTGGCATGAGTAGATATTTACATAGGCTTCGGTTTGTAAATATGAGCTTCCTTCTGCAATATAACTGTGTCTCTTGCCCCTAGAATTGATTGATACCATCTTTTTCCTCCTCATCTGTAAGCATATTATTTATTCAACCTGTAACTTTTCCAATATAAAGTAAAAATAGCTCACTACAATAAGAACATTAGCAAACAAAGTCAAAAGGGACTACTTTTGAAAAAAATAGTTTAGACATTCAGTCCTTTTGATTAGTAACTACCCTTAGTACCAGAAAAAACTTCAAAGTATTCTCTAAACATTGAATTTTCATCAGTGATTCTGAAAGCCTCAGTTCTCATCTTTCATGCTTACCATTGCAATAACTTCAAAAGGATAAAAAGAAAGAATGGTAATCTCTCAAAGCAACCATGTGCTCAGGCCAGTAATTGTGTATTTAGCTGTCATGCATTCACAGCTGGATAATTGCCTCATTAAATTATGTTTTAATAAATATAATAATTAACATTTTGTTACAAAAAAAAGAGAGAAAATACTCAAACCATTCAGAAATGAAATCCAGGGCCCAAGGGATATCTAGAATAAAATGAAAAAGAATTAGATAGCGTCAAATATAGACATCTTCAAAGGGAAAGAGATCATTCAAATTGCCTTTTACTCACTGAAATATATTCTGCATATTTTATTGTTTTCATCATCTTGCTTGTTACAATCCAGCTAGTGAATGTTCAAAGTACATAAAATCCTACAAATAAATAAACTGGGTATGAGTGAATTTACAAAAGGCAACAATTAGGATCAAGAGTCTGACTTGTAAGCTTTGATTATATAAAGCAATTATATTTCCCAGTGGTGTTCCAGCAACATGTGATTTATCAGTAGGAGGAAAATTGAAAAGTTTTAAGCTGCATGACACTTACATGTTGAATTTTGAGAATATAAATAACTTGGAAACCTCATTTAAATCAGCACTGTGTCTCAGTCGAAATTTGATCAAGACAGCAGACTTCAACTTTAGGTATTCTAGGTCAGTGTAGGAGATTATGAATTTATGAATTCATAATCTGAGCAAATAATTATGAATTTATTTTGGAATTATGAATCTGAGCAAATAATTGGAAAATYGCATGAGAAATTGTTTTGAAACCTACATTGGCCAAAAAAGTGTGAAAGTTTTATAATATTATAATCTTACAAAAAAGAAGTGAATGTTAGCTATTAGTTATTCCCAGTGAATATGTATCTCCATTAGACGCTCTGTCCCTGTCTGTCCCAATCTCTCTGTCCCTATCTCTATCCATCTATTTCTGTGATAAGCTCTGTCTAGCAGTGATGTCACTAAAGTATTCTTCTTAGTTCATGTATTTTCCAAGTGTTCTGGGAAGACTCCGTGCATAGGACTGTCAGCTGTGTACATTAACAGAACCCATAAGATTTAGGATCCTAAAACTGAGGAACAGGAAAATATGGAGAAGAATGTTAGTTTGTTGAAAAATTTTGTGAGTTTTTGTGAGCATAGAAAGTGGTAGTGAATAAGGGAGATGTTCAAGGGGGGTTAGAATCATTAGATAACCAAGCATTTTAGGCCAGGTGCTACTTGACTTATTGGGCCACCAGTCTCCACACATCCAAAAATGTTTTCAAGAATGTTATAAGTTGGAAAGTAAGAATAAGGGCATTATCTTTGTTATGATGGCAATCGGAAGCTTTGGATCTCATGTATCCATATTCAGCAGATATAAAGAATTAAAAAAAACCCTGCACTTTTCTCATTCTGAACAGCACCTAGCTAAGAGCTAAGCAATGGAATTGCTCTGATTCTTACTCATGATAAATCATGTGACATCTATATTTACACATTGTCAGTTAAAGTGAAAATAAGTAAAAAAAAAAAATCAAAATTGACATTGAAAGGGAAGGAAACTCAGTTTATGAGAAAAAGACGAGAACGATGTCACAGGGCATAAATCCCTGAGGGCCATTAGGCAGCTGGAGTGGGGCCACCCGGTAGAAATGAAGGCTATTAAATTTAGATTTATGAAGAATATTAGTCCTAAACTAGACTTCCGTGTACAAAACACATCCTGTAGGTCAAAACTGTGTAAACTGGGATTAGCTCTGGGGTAATGAACAGGTGAGGAGAAGAAAAATCACTCAAACCCCCAACACCACACTTACAAAGAGAAAACAAGCACCGATCATGGCTGCTTTGACTGTCACATCTAGGTCTGCAGGAACCTGGATGCCAAAGTTGTCCGCATTTGTGAAGACATCATTTACAAATCCTGACCAGTACTTTGAAATCTTCCCAATGGTAAGCTTTTCATTCATGGTTTTCACCTTTGAAAAGACAAGAGCTATCAAATTTGAAGGCAAAAAGAGATGATTGCACATTTTCCAGGATGCTTACTTCATGAGAGATATGAATTATTTTATTCATCATCTCCAAAGAACATTTCATGTTATTCATTCCTTTTATATAAGCACAAGATTGTAAATGTAGGGGGCTGGGGATGTGGCTCAAGCGGTAGCGTGCTCGCCTGGCATGCATGCAGCCCGGGTTCGATTCTCAGCACCACATACAAACAAAGATGTTGTGTCCGCTGATAACTAAAAAATAAATATTAAAATTCTCTCTTTCTCTCACTCTCTCTTAAAAAAAAGATTATAAATGTAATTTTCTAATTTATTCTTCAGAAATCATGCTTCTCTGATAGTTTTCTAATCCAACATCATTTTTTCCCCTTTTTGTATGCAGATGGAGAATATAATAGCAATAAATAATTAAGTCCAGGAAACCACAAGATGGCAGCAGTTCAATTATATGGCCTAAATAGGAAGGTAATTCCTTTAACCATGGTGCAGATTTTAAGCCTGAATACATCACTAAAAAAATACATATTTATTAATGCATATATATATATATATACATACATACACAAAAATATGTTTGAGAAAGCTTTAAAAATAATTAAAATAATTTCCACAGAAAATGTGTGAATTTAAACATTTTTATAGATGATTTTATAATTATTAAAACATTATTACATATTATTAAATTACTTTACACTATACTCAGATATTTGCTGTCATTCCTTTTTAACCAACTCTAAGTCATATTTTAACTTTACAAAACACTCTAAGCTAATGTATATTAAAGGAAATCATAATCTGACACTAAAGACTACCTTGTCAGCTAGAAAGAGTCTACACTTCAACTTTATCAACTATGCATTTCTTTTCCCTGTTTCCCATTCTGACACTGAAAGTTATTTAATATGGTCTTTCGCTTTCCATGTAGTGGTAGAAGACAGAAAAGAATGAATGTTACCTAGGACATTTCTATACCATCAATACTAAAGCTTATGTTTTACTTCTCCTAAGTTATATTAACTATTTAAAAAGCCACACCAAATCCTTTCAAAATGGGTGGAACTAGCCCATCTCACTTTGCAAATTATGTAATGTATAAATAATGTTCTTGGAAGTCTGAAAACTGAAAAAAATGAATAAAAAAATAAATATACACTTGAAATTAAGCTGTCTCCTCTGCCTACAGATGTATGTCTAGAGGAATCTGAAAGATATTTCATTTTGTTACTAACTGAATTTATAATTATCTCCTTTAACATTCAATTATAAAAAACTGAGAGTGGATTACTTTATAATGAAATTTAGCAACTCTTACAATCATAGCTTTTAAATTAGTAATATGTTAATGGAATACATTTCTGAAATGATATCTAAACTGGGTTTGTGACAATCAGGTCTACACAAAAGAAGACATTTATAATTTAGGTGATCTGAAATGTATACATTTGCTTTATACCATATATGCTTGTAATTCTGTATAAATCTAATTCACCCATATTAGGATGTACCACTCTTTTTCAAAATGAGAAAATTTGGTTATTTAAAAAAGAATGTAACTTTATATACAGAAAGCTTGGTGTTCAAAAACTTAGATCAAAAATAATAAGGCACTTACTATTTTAAGGAAAGAGATATAATAGCTAAGTACCCTTTTAGGAAAAGTGTACTTTAGCTTCAAAGCAAAAAAAAAAAAAAAATATATATATATATATATATATATATTTAATATATTTAATAATGACCATCATTATTTTTTTTATTAAAATTAAAAAAAAACTTAAAAAATGCTTGCAGATGTCATGGTCAGGATGGCATATTTATAGTATTTTATTTAATTGTTGAACTAGCATCTGCAACTTTAAGTTATTGTTGGTGTGGAACATATTGATTTATTAGATTTCACTAATATGTTATTTTCTAAATTTATTTCATGGATATTTCATGATTTGAGTATTTTAAAAAATAAATAATATTGCAAAAAATCAAGACCTAAGTAAACAATTTTATTCATTATGTCAATCATACCTCAAAATCCACATCTCCAAAACAGCCACATGTTGAGCAAGGACCAACAATTTTCAAAATATCTTCTTTGTTTGCATTTTGTATTGTGAACTTGGGTTGAAAGGGGTCCCACTTCTGAGCAACATAACCAACTACAGTACCAGGAGGGACTTGGATTTCTAACTGTCAGAAAAGATAAAGATAAAATAAGATTTTCAAAGGTTATTATATTGTAATTACATTCTATTGCAAATTTAACTCTAAACAGTATGTGCTGTTATGATATCATTTTTTTTTGTATTCTACAAATATTTCTAAATATATGCTTCTAAAGATGTCAACCAGTGTCCCCTCCCCTGCAACATAATGTCTGACCTGGCCCACTGGCTTCGTACCTTTCATCTCAGGCAGCTGGTCAAGCTCAGCCATTCACCTTGTGGTAACTCATCACTGACTTCCTCTCAGTTGTTGCCACAACACATGTCTATTTGAAGCCTCCTTTACCAATCATTAAATGTTCACAAGTTTTTCCAGCCTCTTTGTGCTTGATTAAAAGAAAATTCCTTTTACAGAGTTACAGTTATTAAACAAACAGTATGGTTCATGCCTTCCAAAGTGTAATTTGACTCCATTACCCTTTCATATCTATGGAAGTCAAATCAAATTCCTCTGTATGATGATAAGTAAGGGTTGGTTACAGATTTAAATATAATATTTTGGCTTTGAAGCTAAATCAGCTCTCCATCATCCAATATCCTTTAGACTTTCCTTACTGAATTCATGGTCTTATGAATCTATAGTGTTCTTAGATACAAAGAGGTGAATTTAATAGGATTGCTAAGGATGACATATTTGTTCTGAGATCAATTTTTAAATAATTGGTTGGACTTTTGACCAAGTTAATAAATATTAATGGGTATCAAGATACATTTTATCTTAATTTATGTACCATTATGCTACTATGTTATAAAATAACAATTATCAGTAAATTTCATGGGCATATATTTATTATTATGCAGACTACAACATCTTGGGGAATATTAACCTTCAAAATCCTCATAAAAGATGCAAATTCTCAGGGCTGGGGATATAGCTCAGTTGGTAGAGTGCTTACCTCACATGCATAAGGCCCTGGATTTAATCCCCAGCACCACACACACACACACACACACACACACACACAAAAGAAAAAAAAGCAAATTCTTGGGCTCCGTGTATGAGACATCTTATGGTTTAGCCAGGTACTTTCTCATAAATAGTCAGAGAAATAACTTCAATAGATGTTGTTAGCAACTTCCCTAGTAACTGTCTTCTGTTTGAATATTTATTGCCCTTGTACTTATGTAACAGTGTTCCACTTTATGATTGGAATATAGTATTTGCTGCTCTACTACTGTGACTTATTTTATTTTATTTTATTTTATTTTTATTGGTTGTTCATAACATTACATAGTTCTTAATACATCATATTACACGGTTTGATTCAAGTGGATTATGAACTCCCGCTTTTACCCCGTATACAAATTGCTGTATCACATCAG